GTGATGTCATTATTAGTTATTTCGGCGGATAGTCAACAGCAATCGAATATAAGACACGTTGTTTTGATAATTTTGTCATTATTATTAAAAAAACAAGAAATGTGTGAGACAGTGATTTTCTGAAGGCGCAATCAGATAATCTTTAATCGGAAGGATTGCTGATTATTTTATAAATAATGAATGCAATATAGCCAAATCAAATGGAGCTAAAATAAAAAGGTAAAATAATTAATGTTTGTATAATAATGTTCAAATATGAGATATCGGTATAATAGTAATTTGCCTAAATTTATTTAATAATAATAATTGTATGTACATTCTTTATTCAAAATGCTCAGAATGTAACCTTTGAAACCTAACCTACAAAAATTATTAGTTCTTATTCTTAGCTCTTATTCTTTATTGTAAATCAGAACGAGTAAATCATGGTGATTCTGCAGTTATGTAGAGCTCAAAAGAGATGGGAATATTTATACAGTTCAAGGAAAAGTTTGTCCCGAACATCAAGTAAATAGTAATGCTTACATTGTGAAGATGCTAATTGATGAAGGCGATGAAAAAGTAATAGAAGTTAAATGCCAAGACTGCGCTGTTTTAGAAGGTAGATGATTTAAATTTATTATATATATTTTTATTCATTATTTTATTCAAATTCTGCTTTACAGATTGTAAGCATGCCATCGTTTTTCTTATGTGAATACGTCGCAGAAGTGAAGAGTCAGAATCAACAGCAACTGTATGTTACTGAAAAAAACTTTGGATAACGTAAGAAATATAAAAGCGAAAAATGAAATACTCGATAATAAAAATAATTACGATCCAGATGATTTTTATAACTCATTGTTAGTAGAATTCTAAACACATCAATTTGATTGCCAACTGTCTAGACATTGCATCGATCTAAAAGTCAGACATCCACTATCGCTGCACGAAATGTTGATAACATTGTACTTTCTGATAATTTTACACTCGATGCAGATAGGTTTTTAACATTTATTTCTAGTATCATGACTTTAGATCTATGTGATAAAGTTGCTATAGATACGAACAATCAAAGTAAATGTAAACTTTGGAATGAGTAAGATATAAGTAGACTCATCACTTCTCGACTCTACGAAATAACACATTGAGGCATATCCAGTGATAGTCTTGTTAATCAAGTAACAGTACAAAATAATGGATACAAAGTCAATGCGAAGAGAGAGGAGAAAAAAAAATAATAGATTTTAGAAGAAAAAGATAAACTAAGCTTTAGTTCTTGCGGTTTATTGTGAAATCCAGAGTTTCCTGTTATTAGAGTCTCTCTAGATGCTGTAGAAGAATTTACATTTTGTAGTGAAGATAAAATGCCCAATGACATTAAAAACTGAACGTACTTATTACTTCTGATATGAAATTAGTAAATAAGTATTGGGAGTACAAATAAGTTTCCGCCATTTTTTATCAAAAATTAAGCATTTATTGAAAGAACGGTACATAATGTTTTATTCAAAGTGGCCATCGCTAGCCACTATTTTTTCCCATCTTTCTGGTAGCATGTGGATACCGCATCGGAAAAACGCTTCATCTTTTGAGGCTATCCAA